TTTAGAAAGTTTTTTTATATCAACGAGCGCTTGCATCCTTCATTTGTAAAAATGGGTATTTTTTCACCCATTTTACGGTAAACACAATTTAAGAAAATGGGTAAAAAAACACCCATTTATTGACAGACCGCCCATTTACCCATTAATGAGTAAACCATAGTTTACCTATTAAATGAGGAGGGGCACTTTTAGCGGAAATGGGTGTTTTTATACCCATTAATGGGTTTTTGCGAAGCACCGTGTACGCAGCTGAAAAGTAATGACGTTTTTACGTGCTACGGGATAGGACACGGAATGCAAAAGAAATTACTTTTCCTCAGCATTTCTTGACCCAGTACGCAGTTCAAAAGAAATCGGTAAAGGAAAGATCGATTACATTAGTATCGTGATCGACATGAAGGTGGCGCATTCTGAATGCAATTCCACTTTCCTTGCGGAATAATGGTCTGATCAATTATTCCGTTAGGTAATGTTGGCGTTTATTGCAAAACTGATATTTTGGATGCATTTAAACAACATTAACACTAATAAGTGTTGATTTTACAATTTGACCACATCTCCCTATAATCTCAAAATTTAGCAGACTATAGCTGTCAAATTTTCTTTTGGGAAAAATCCTCAAAAATTACTTTTCCGTTTTCTTTTCAGCTGCGTACCAGGCTTAAAGCCTGGTACGTAGCTGAAAAGTAATGACGTTTTTACGTGCTACGGGATAGGACACGGAATGCTAAAGAAATTTCTTTTCCTTAGCATTTCTTGACCAAGTACGCAGTTCAAAAGAAATCGGTAAAGGAAAGATCGATTACATTAGTATCGTGATCGACATGAAGGTGGCGCATTCTGAATGTAATTTCATTTTGCTTGCGGAATAATGGTCTGACCAATTATTCCGTTAGGTAAGTTTAACGTTTGTTGTAAAAATGATGTTTTGGATGCATTATAACAACATAAAAACTGATAATTGTTGATTTTAAAATTAGACGACACCTACCTATGATCTCAAAATTTAGCAAAAGACACCTCCCTATAGCTGTCAAATTTACTTTTGGGAATATTCCTCAAAAATTACTTTTCCGTTTTCTTTTCAGCTACGTACCAGGCTTAAAGCTCTACAGTAGGGCTTTAGTCTAGCGGCGGTGTGACATCATACATGTCAAAACATCACATCAATCAAGACCAACAATTGAAAAGACCTCAACCCCGTTTTGTAAACAAACCTTGTAAGGCCATTTTCTCGCGAACCGAAACCTACATTCGCAAACCTAAAAACCAATCGTATAGAGGAGAATTTCCCCTACCTGTTCATTTTGTTGGTTAGCGTTGGTGGACTTTGGTTCGCGGCCTTTTCAATTGTTGATCTTGCAATATCGTGTGGCGTGTGGCGAACGTCAACATGATATTTCGACGTGCTAACAGATGCCACACCTCCGTCATAACAGTGGGCGCCTGCCTTACATTTGTGGTCTCCATTTCAGAAGTAAAGGTAGTCCCAAAACGGCAAAATGAAATGAAAAACGCAATATTCCAGTTAGAAAAGTAACACTGCCCTAATAAAAAATTACCATAAACGAGCGATAATCCAAATGATTGAACTATTCCACAAATGGTTTGGATGCAGCTTGCTGGTTTAGAATAAAGAGACTGAATTGGGTTCTCTTTAGTTTAGAAGAAAATGTATTATAATTAATCAGGTTTTGTTGTTTTTGACATCATCCACATCCAGAGGGCCAGTCACTTTCGAATGTATAAGCCTAGTACGCAGCTAAAAAGAAAACGGAAAAGTAATTTTTGAGGATTATTTGAGGATATTGACCAGCCTGATACAACCTTTCCTAAGTAAATTCACTTAATTTCCACTTTCATCCTAGTGGAAATCGCACATATTTACCATTTTCCGAAAATTGGCGTCTTGCAGTGAAACTTTTCCATGCTTTCGCCACCTACATTTCGAAGTGAGAACTACTAGAAGGAGGATAGTTTCCAAATTCTTCAAGTAAAACAGACGATTTTTGGGGCAAATCGGTACATAAAGAAAAACTTATAATTTCCTGTGGAAACTTTTGCTTGAATCGTGTAAGAAAATGTGTTTGCAAACTAAGTGTTATTATTTCGGTATGGATCGGAGATGTTTTCATGGAAAATTATGCATAACAAGTTTGCACCCACAGGGAGAGGTTACCTCCTGCGCAGCAACATTTTTCGGAAAATGGTAAATATGTGCGATTTCCACTAGGATGAAAGTGGAAATTAAGTGAATTTACTTAGGAAAGGTTGTATCAGGCTGGTGGTAATGGAGATTGGTTGTATAGGACGCCAATATTCAATAAATGTTCATTTTGGCCTTTTGTTAGCAAACATATTGATGCTCACAATTTTCGACGGAAAACGCAACGGAACTTGCTTTACTCAACACGCACCATACTATAAAATGGTGCTAGATGGTGTTCAAAGTGATAGCAAGATGATAAATTATCTCTATTTTGGGTAATTGAGCAATTTACTTCTGTTTACATCATATTTACGATGCAGCATTGTTGGAGCCGCGAAATGAAATGAATATATCTTATGAAAGTTCAACTGGAAAAGTCAAAGTTGCACATCAGTCTGATCGTAAAAACGCTTTCTTCTGCAATTCGAATGTTATATTGGAAGGATTTCACGCAGGCTTGATGAAAATTATGATTTAATGCTAATTTTCACGAATTTTATATGCAGTCTGTCAACATTATCATCATCATGCAGTGGCGACATCTGCGTTGAGCTTTTACGGCAATCTTCCAATCCCGTAGCACGTAAAAACGTCATTACTTTTCAGCTGCGTACCAGGCTGTGAACCATTTGCCGAGTTAAATTTAACTCATGGTTAAAAGTGACATTTCGAAAGTTATTTCTCATGTTCGAAAATCCCCGTGCTGTCGATCGACCGGTTTTCGAGCCACGGTCGTCAAAATTTAACTTCTTGTCTGTCAGAAGTAACCACGCTCGGATAGCAGGTTTAATCGATAACTTTTCATCTGTCAAATTTTAACCAAAAGTTGAAATTAATCCACCAAATGGTTCAGAGCCTTAGGCTGTGAACCATTTGCCGAATTAAATTGAACTCGTGGTTAAAAGTGACATTTCGAAAGTTATTTCTTATGTTCGAAAATCCCCGTGCTGTCGATCGACCGGTTTTCGAGCCACGGTCGTCAAAATTTAACTTCTTGTCTGTCAGAAGTGACCACGCTCGGATAGCAGGGTTAATCGATAACTTTTCATCTGTCAAATTTTAACCAAAAGTTAAAATAATCCACCAAGTGGTTCAGAGCCTTAGAAATGCATGAAATTTTCAGTTTTTATTCATTATCGTCTTTATGAGCAGTTTAAAATGCACAAAAATTGCACAAGTACATTACTATGGTGATAAGGTAAACACTCGTGGGTTTTCTGATATTCTCCATACTGTAAAAATGATTTTCCTACCACTGAAGGGGCGACATCTCTCGGATCTTCAGTATAGCTACTACTACTACTACTAATCTCGAGTAACATTTGAAATGGGCCTATGTCCAAAACGTAAACAAATCGGGTTTTGATACCATTCTTTAGCACCGCTTGATAGCACTAATCGTGTAAGAAAGTTCCGCATAATCGAAAAAAAATCGATTTTCGAAACGGCCGTTCAACGAAATTTTTCGATTCATTAATAGGCCCGCACGCTAAAAGGCCAACCATTCATTTATTTCATTTCATTGATAAGCCTAGTGACGTAGAAGGGCCGATGATTGAAAAATTTCAAACCAAAGCTAGGCCCTACTGCTTGAGGCAGGGCCGATGATTTGTTTTGAATTTATTTGACGTTGCTAAAAGGCTTAGCAAAGGACTTACCATTTTTGATGACAAGCACAACGGCTTAACAAAAAGGGCCTACACTGATAAAATTTCAAAGATTGTTTTTATGTGTCCACACATGAATTTTTGCAATGTGATCAACAAATGATATTTATGTGTCGGACACATACTTAATATGTATACACATAGAAGCCATGTGTAACCACACATACTATTCATTTGACTCATAAATTTCATTTGTGCTTCTGGGTGGATTCTGTTTATATGTGGTCACATGAAAATCATGTGGAATTCGACATGGAAATTCGTCAATAAAAACGTGTGGAATTTTATTAGTGTATCCATTGAAAGATTAACAAAAAAGGCTTATTAATTTATGAAATTATATTGTTATCGATTTTCATATATTTTTGAAAGCTTTTCGCATATGTTGGATGTTGTATACTGAGAAACAGTTACTTTTGTTATTGTGAGCAATATAAATGCCTAAAATACTTCAATTTTCTTAAACATGAATTGAATAGTGGCGGACAAAATTTAAAATTCATTTTCTGATTTGTTTACGTTTTGGACATAGGCCCATTTCAAATGTTACTGTAGATTTTGCACATTATTTCACTCAATCTTCTGCCATGTGTCAGCACTGCAGCCTACAGTTTTTATGCTATGTTTATATGTGAATTGACGACACGTATGCTCTAAAAAATCTTATGGGAATAATCATTAATGAAACTTGATTTTTTCATGATTAGCTTGCCTAATTTAAAAATAAATATAATAAATGTTTGATTCGTACATGTACGCGCTTATTGAAGATTTATCACGATTAATTTGCCGCGCAAAAAATCAAACATCTATGTGGACGGAGCATAGTTTCTGAATTTTTGCATCAGCTGTCCGTTCACATTTTAGCCTATATCACGTAATATAGGCTGTCTTGCAATGAACACTCATACAAAGGATTTCCAGTGAAAACTAGTGTACGTTGTAATGTGAACGGGGTATTAGATTGGCAGATAATCGAGCCAAGAACCAACAACTGGCAAGCAAAATGTTCGTGGATGACGTTTCTGCCACCGAAGTGATTTTTCACTAACGCCAATAAGCCTGGTGGCGCGGACCTTATGTAAACGACATTGCAACGGTAGAACATTTTTTTAGAACCTTACCTTCAGGAAAGCATTTCTGCCACATCCAGTTCTACATGAAATCGGCATTCTCACTTATCACTTACAATAGTATTTTAAAATCCAAAACTTGTAGTTCGATCTTTTTTAGTTTTCGCCATGCTTCTGGCAGGTCTGCACAACACGAAAGAATGATGTCAATAAACTGTACTGAGCATTCATAAAGGCCTAAGTCGCAAACGTAAACAAATTGTATCCTTAATTATGAAAAAAAAAAACTCGCCCAGGTACGATAATTGTGTACGGGGGAGGTGGATTCGCTTTGTCCGATACTATTGGTGGCAAACATAGATAGACTTTGAATTACGAGAAATTTTCGGGAAAAGCCATTGACTTCTTGCCGCAAGATTTCACCAATACAACGTTGCTAGTGTAGCCGTGTAAAATCGATTTGTTTATTATTTTCAACCACGAAATCAGCTGTCAAAATGTTCGACCTGACAGCGGTTTGTTTGTTATTTTCAACCAGTAAAACGCTTGTATTAGTGATACTGCTCACTAATCCTAACCGTGGTAGAGAACTCTATTGTTTATGTTTATAATTTAATCCTTAATCACTGTCAGAATATTTACACGGTATTCTGATTCCAACCAGTGACTGGGTAGATGGCACTCATTCATGAGGACACGGTAACCGCAAAATACCCAATAATTACTATAAGCATTTTTGAGGGAAACTGGGACTACCCATTAAATGAGTAAAATTTTACCCATTTATGAGTAATTACAACTACAAAAACAAGTAGTAAGTATTCATTTTTGAATAACAAATACTCATAAAGCCTGGTACGCAGCTGAAAAGTAATGACGTTTTTATGTGCTACCGGATAGAGCCTGGTTCGCAGCTGAAAAGTAATGACATTTTTACGTGCTACGGGATAGGACACGGAATGCAAAAGAAATTATTTTCCTTTAGCATTTCTTGACCCAGTACGCAGTTCAAAAGAAATCGGTAAAGAAAAGATCGATTTCATTAGTATCGTGATCGACATGAAGGTGGCGTATTCTGAATGCAATTTCACTTTCCTTGCGGAATAATGGTCTGATCAATTATTCCGTTAGGTAATGTTGGCATTTATTGCAAAACTGATGTTTTGGATGCATTGAAACAACATAAACACTAATAAGTGTTGATTTTACAATTTGACCACATCTCCGTATAATCTCAAAATTTAGCAGACTATAGCTGTCAAATTTTCTTTTGGGAAAAATCCTTAAAAATTACTTTTCCGTTTTCTTTTCAGCTGCGTACCAGGCTTAAATGGGTAATAATTTTACTCATTTAATGGGTAGACCAAGTCTCCCTCAAATATGCTTACTTTGAAGTCATTATTGGGTATTTTGCGGTTACCGTGTATGAGTCGTCAACATCAGCCTGCACTCTCAGAAATATTACACAACAAAGATAGATTAAAATTTAATCATTTTATGGTTTAGCAATGTTGAACTGATTAAAATTTCAATAAAAACTATAATAAATCTGAATAAAGGCGTGTAATTAGTTCCTAGTATACAAAGGAAAAAAAAACTGCAGTTTGTTCTACATTAAAAAAAATAAATCAGTTGTTGAAGCAAATCGGCTCGTCGAACCAACACTTCCGCACAGCAAAAAAATGTAATATCGATCAATGTAATTCAAGCTGATGTATGAAATAATGATGTAATAGCAAAAAGCAGATACAATATTACATCAATAGATGTAATTTTGTTCACAAAATCGATGTACATCGTACAACGTTATATATGGTTACCCGCATAAACGCGAACCATAAATTGACCTTACCTAAAATGGTTAAAAACATTTTATAATCCCTGCTAAACTTTAACTGAAATGGTTATGGAACTTTACATGAACGTTTAATGATAAAGTTTCAACCTTATGTATTATGGTTTTTTGGAACTGGACCTTACAAATAATGGGTTGTTAAGAACCATTACCATTCCAAATACTTGTTTTCTCCATACATTTTCAGAAAGAGAACTATATAAGAATGTTTTTACTTATGATTTGAGAACATTAATGGTAATGGTTATGGTAGTCAGTAAGGTCCATTAATGGTTTTGTATTATCGCTCAACTTTACGTGGAATATATCGTGAATTGGTAATCAGTAAATTACAGGCAACCAATTCGCGATATATTCCACATAAAGTTGATCGATCCCGACCAACCGTTCGTGAAACTTCTTCAAAGTTCTTAATATAGAAATAAAGGTTTATGCCGGCAATTCTTTACTTTAAATTTTCTATGATTTCGATGTACACATTTAAAAATCTTTATTGATCGATACTTACATTTAAGATTATTTCTTCATCGGTCATATGATAGTAATCTATAAAGGTGCCATACTAAATTTCTTTTAATTTCGATATGTCACATAGACTTTAGTATTCTTTACAAATATTCATCAATAAATATTTAAATACTGATGTCATCATAACTTTGAACTTTGACAAAGAACAACAAAGATTGCCATCGATGCACATTTATAATCTCCTTGTTATCGATTTGCATCGCTGGTTAAAGAGAGTTCGAGACACACCAGGTGACAGATGGCAATGTTTATATTATTTATCGACATATTCGGCATTTCATCGGAAGAAGCAATCTACCGGTAAATGAACGAGAAGACCGATAGCCACGATGCAGCAAATGTTTATCATTGTAGTTCTTCAAGTTTATGTCTATATATATATTTAATAACCCGTGATAGCATGCGTGGTGGGATTCTCGGCATTTGGAACCCAATGAGGAAAATTGATACCTTTTTGACCTCTATTACACCTATATGGCTGACTGGTTGATGGTTATGACAAATAAATATTGAGTTCATGTATGAAAAGATTTACAGAAATTCCAATACATCACATACTAGAGTGTGTTTGCCTGTCGTTGATAAGCTCATCAGCAGCAGCCGTGGACCCAAGGATTAGCAACCAACAACGAAAGCAGTACACGCCATATGGCATGGGATCGAAACTAGAAATTATGCAGTTAAAAAAACCACAAATAAAATCAGCAGTTGTGTATCGATATTTTGATTTTACAACAGAAATCGATATTTTGATCTGGCAACACAATCGATATTTTAACATTGGTAACGATTGGTAGCAATATTTTGAGAAAGATCTTTATAAACGATTTACGATTAGACTTTTAGCATCTTTACAATTATTCATGAAATGGTGACGATCGCTATCGATTTTTATTATGAATGGCTTTGAAGATCGATGTATAGAAAATTAAAGAAAATTAACGAAATGGTTGGTCGGGATGTTACAAAACCATTCGTGGACCTTACTGACTACCATAACCATTACCATTAAAGTTCTCAAACCATAAGTTAAAAGGTTCTAATATAGTTCTCTTTCCGAAAATGTATGGAGAAAACAAGTACTATTTGGAATGGTAATGGTTCTTAACAACCCATTATTTGTAAGGTCCAGTTCCAAAAAACCATAATACATAAGGTTGAAACTTTATCATTAAACGTTCATGTAAAGTTCCATAACCATTTCAGTTAAAGTTTAGCAGGGATTATAAACAATTTTTAACCATTTTAGGTAAGGTCAATTTATGGTTCGCGTTTATGCGGGTATATAACACAACCGATGGATTGACCTGGTTGCAGCAGTTTGGATGTAATATTCAACAACTTTTTTTCTGTGCGTATGAAACCCCACGAGAAACCGCAGTTGGACAGTCTGATCACGAACATAAATTATTTGGGGAATTATGGTTAGTGCAGCGCACACATCATCAACAATCACAAAACTGTTTCTCATCAAGTCGCTCCAACGATGTGCAACGCGTAATTCGTCCGGGATATTACTAAATCACTGAATCAGCTACTACAAAATCAGTGGAGCTCCAACGAACAGACTGCAAAAAGGAAATCCCGCTAAGTCCAGAAGTGGACCTGGCTCTAGGTCACATTCTCCGGTAAGTTACTACTCAAATAGTATTATAAACATTTCTAGACTAAAAGTGGAAATTATATCCCTAATAGGTCAAATCCACCCTGAAAAATCAACTCGATCAAACTCTGGATCGCGGTCTCCGTCGAGAAGCGGCCGTTCTGATTCGGCTGATTCCGAAGTGGAAGAAAAAACGAAAGCATGCCGCTATATCCAGTGATTCCGGATTGAACACTGAGAGGGAGCACACGGTAATTGATTCCGACTATGATGAAGCTTCCAATAGAGAGTAACTAGGTGTACGTGAAGCATAATGACGTGGACAATAAGTACAATCTGAAGCTGATTATATTCCAAAATCAGGTACGAAAGGGTTTGATGTGGTTGACAAAGAAATTTGACTTTTTATTATTGTTTTAGGTCGTTTGCCATCGTCGGGTTTGGGAACACATGAGAAAGAGATGTTGAATACGATTATGCGCGGGTGTCAGAGAAAACCGACAGATCACACTGCAAAAATGGTATCAACAGCCATTGGGTGTACATGGAGGAGGAACCAGTCCGATTACGTTCGTGACTAGATCTGAAGGACCGATGCAAACCTGTCCTGCACTAGATGTTACGTCTATTTGCAGCCTAATTGTGCCATTCCTTTCTCGCCTGCCATGGTGTGCTTATTATGCCATCGGGCAGCCTTATTTTTTTTTAAATGCTTCAATAAAAACACAATTCCATTACTTCCAGATCTTTTGTTTACTTTTTTCAAAATTCCTCACTTGACATCAATGAAAAACGCATTCTGACGGATAGCAGGCTTTATGTATTCTATGAATACCGCAACTTTAGAGCAACCGTACCAGTCGTTGCCATTTGTGGCACTATTTTACTTACACACAGCGTTTCCATTTTGGCTTAATCACTACTCTCCACATCGGTCGTTGCTATCAGAGCGAGGGGGGCGACTCTATCTACGATGCAAAAAAGATTGTGTTTTGCTGTGGCTAGCTGCGCGCACGCTGAGTAGATAGAAAGAAGATTGATGAAGATTCTGAAGATTTCCTGCGAAAAGATGATGAGCGATGCAAGTAGATGCGACAAATGAAAGAAGATTTTTCGAAAATTGATTCGCTAGGGTGAGATTTGTTGAGCATCTAAACTTGAGATTTAGATGTGTCGCCCCCCTCGTATCAGAGTCATAATTTAAGTTACCGTTTTCCACACCGGCAAAACAAACCAGGTTGCTAAATTTATGAACTCACTACTTCCAGACCCAGACCCCCTTCACTCTTTGGAATTCATAGAGACAGATAACAGCGCCAAACGGTTTGTGTCGAGACAACGTTGAACCAACAATCAATACGAAACTAACGATTTTAAATTGGCTCACCACTTGACTAGCCTATTGGTCCCAAGCAAATCGATTACGTACCCCATTCTAGTCAAAATTCTAGTACTACACTATGTTTGTTTTGATTCGCTATGAAAGCAACAATCAATACGAAACTAACGATTTTAAATTGGCTCACCACTTTAGTAGCCTATTGGTCCCAAGCAAACGATTAACGTACCCTATTCTAGTTGAAATTCTATTACTACACTATGTTTGTTTTGATTCGCTATGAAAGTTTGACAGATAACTCAAGGGTGTGTGGATTCATGCAGAACATGCAGGGGTGAGTGAAATAGCTAAGGACTGCTTGGGACCGTTGTTCTGGTACTGAGTGAGCCAAAAATAATAATGATTTTCTTCGGGACCCAGTGGTCTTAGAGAGTTACCTCTATGATGAAAGTTTGACATATAAAATGAGGGGTTAGTGGATTTTCCTATGTTTCGAGGGGTGAATCGATTAGCTTGGGACCGAAGATAGTACCAGAGCTGAGCCAAAAAGTTGAGCACGTTTCTTCGAGACCTTTTGGTCTTAGAGTTACCTCTATGGTTGAACCTTAGAGGTAACTCTAAGACCACTGGGTCCCGAAGAAAATCATTATTATTTTTGGCTCACTCAGTACCAGAACAACGGTCCCAAACAGTCCTAAGCTATTTCACTCACCCCTGCATGTTCTGGATGAATCCACACACCCCTGATGTTATCTGTCAAACTTTCATAGCGAATCAAAACAAACATAGTGTAGTAATAGAATTTCAACTAGAATAGGGTACGTTAATCGTTTGCTTGGGACCAATAGGCTACTAAAGTGGTGAGCCAATTTAAAATCGTTAGTTTCGTATTGATTGTTGGTTGAACTGCAGCGTTGGAAGAAAACACGCACATCAACATCTATACATGTACGAACCCACACAACTGAGCGGACGGTACAGCGCAAATCAAAACACGAAGCGGTGTCATCATTCATCGTCATCATTCAGCTTCGGCTTCTTCCGTTTGCGTTTGCTATCACCGACGTTGACAAATACTTCCTACGTTAAGCCTGGTACGCAGCTGAAAAGTAATGACGTTTTTACGTGCTACGGGATAGGACACGGAATGCTAAAGAAATTTCTTTTCCTTAGCATTTCTTGACCCAGTACGCAGTTCAAAAGAAATCGGTAAAGGAAAGATCGATTACATTAGTATCGTGATCGACATGAAGGTGGCGCATTCTGCATGCAATTTCACTTTCCTTGCGGAATAATGGTCTGATCAATTATTCCGTTAGGTAATGTTGGCGTTTATTGCAAAACTGATGTTTTGGATGCATTTAAACAACATAAACACTAATAAGTGTTGATTTTACAATTTGACCACATCTCCTATAATCTCAAAATTTAGCAGACTATAGCTGTCACATTTTCTTTTGGGAAAAATCCACAAAAATTACTTTTCCGTTTTCTTTTCAGCTGCGTACCAGGCTTTAAGCCTGGTACGCAGCTGAAAAGTAATGACGTTTTTACGTGCTACGGGATAGGACACGGAATGCAAAAGAAATTACTTTTCCTCAGCATTTCTTGACCCAGTACGCAGTTCAAAAGAAATCGGTAAAGGAAAGATCGATTACATTAGTGTCGTGATCGACATGAAGGTGGCGCATTCTGAATGCAATTTCACTTTCCTTGCGGAATAATGGTCTGATCAATTATTCCGTTAGGTAATGTTGGCGTTTATTGCAAAACTGATGTTTTGGATGCATTAAAACAACATAAACACTAATAAGTGTTGATTTTACAATTTGACGACATCTCCCTATAATCTCAAAATTTAGCAGACTATAGCTGTCAAATTTTCTTTTGGGAAAAATCCTCAAAAATTACTTTCCCGTTTTCTTTTCAGCTGCGTACCAGGCTTTAAGCCTGGTACGCAGCTGAAAAGAAAACGGAAAAGTAATTTTTGAGGATTTTTCCCAAAAGAAAATTTGACAGCTATAGCAATCAGACCATTATTCTGCAAGGAAAGTGAAATTGCATTCAGAATGCTCCACCTTCATGTCGATCACGATACTAATGTAATCGATCTTTCCTTTACCGATTTCTTTTGAACTGCGTACTGGGTCAAGAAATGCTGAGGAAAAGTAATTTCTTTTGCATTCCGTGTCCTATCCGGTAGCACATAAAAACGTCATTACTTTTCAGCTGCGTACCAGGCTTTATAAAATAGGAAAGTAATGATTATTCCAATGTAAAGCCTGGTACCATAGAGGTAACTCTAAGACCACTGGGTCCCGAAGAAAATCATTATTATTTTTGGCTCACTCAGTACCAGAACAACGGTCCCAAGCAGTCCCAAGCTATTTCACTCACCCCTGCATGTTCTGCATGAATCCACACACCCCTGATGTTATCTGTCAAACTTTCATAGCGAATCAAAACAAACATAGTGTAGTAATAGAATTTCAACTAGAATAGGGTACGTTAATCGTTTGCTTGGGACCAATAGGCTACTAAAGTGGTGAGCCAATTTAAAATCGTTAGTTTCGTATTGATTGTTGCTGGTACGCAGCTGAAAAGAAAACGGAAAAGTAATTTTTGAGGAATATTCCCAAAAGTAAATTTGACAGCTATAGGGAGGTGTCTTTTGCTAAATTTTGAGTTCATAGGTAGGTGTCGTCTAATTTTAAAATCAACAATTATCAATTTTTATGTTGTTAAAATGCATCCAAAACCGAGTCCAAAACATCATTTTTACAACAAACGTTAAAATTACCTAACGGAATAATTGGTCAGACCATTATTCCGCAAGGAAAATGAAATTGCATTCAGAATGCGCCACCTTCATATCGATCACGATACTAATGTAATCGATCTTTCCTTTACCGATTTCTTTTGAACTGCGTACTGGGTCAAGAAATGCTAAGGAAAAGAAATTTCTTTAGCATTCCGTGTCCTATCCCGTAGCACGTAAAAACGTCATTACTTTTCAGCTGCGTACCAAGCTTAAAGCCTAGTACGCAGCTGAAAAGAAAACAGAAAAGTAATTTTTGAGGATTTTTCCCAAAAGAAAATTTGACAGCTATAGTCTGCTAAATTTTGAGATTATAGGGAGATGTCGTCAAATTGTAAAATCAACACTTATTAGTGTTTATGTTGTTTAAATGCATCCAAAACATCAGTTTTGCAATAAACGCCAACATTACCTAACGGAATAATGATCAGACCATTATATTCCGCAAGGAAAGTGAAATTGCATTCAGAATGCGCCACCTTCATGTCGATCACGATACTAATGTAATCGATCTTTCCTTTACCGATTTCTTTTGAACTGCGTACTGGGTCAAGAAATGCTGAGGAAAAGTAATTTCTTTTGCATTCCGTGTCCTATCCGGTAGCACATAAAAACGTCATTACTTTTCAGCTGCGTACCAGGCTTAAAGCCTGGTACGCAGCTGAAAAGAAAACGGAAAAGTAATTTTTGAGGAATATTCCCAAAAGTAAATTTGACAGCTATAGGGAGGTGTCTTTTGCTAAATTTTGAGTTCATAGGTAGGTGTCGTCTAATTTTAAAATCAACAAATATCAGTTTTTATGTTGTTAAAATGCATCCAAAACATCATTTTTACAACAAACGTTAAAATTACCTAACGGAATAATTGGTCAGACCATTATTCCGCAAGGAAAATGAAATTGCATTCAGAAGCCGCCACCTTCATATCGATCACGATACTAATGTAATCGATCTTTCCTTTACCGATTTCTTTTGAACTGCGTACTGGGTCAAGAAATGCTAATTAAAAGAAATTTCTTTAGCATTCCGTGTCCTATCCCGTAGCACGTAAAAACGTCATTACTTTTCAGCTGCGTACCAGGCTTAATGGGTGAAGAGCTTGTACGTCAAATCATCGGGTACTTTTTACCCATATTCAGAAATGAAAAGTTTTAGAAAATGGGTAAAAAGTATAAATTTTCGATGATTGAGCTATTTAGAAAATAATTTTAATATGATTTTTCACATATTTCTTTGAAATGTCGGAAACATTAACATTAAAAACTTGTTTTTATTAATTTAGATAATAATCATTGTAATAATGCATAATGATTGCCGCTTCCAGCGAGGTTCATACATCAGCCACTTACATCCGCAAGGTCTTCTTGTGCTCCTAGAAAGATCATACCGCTTTCCTACTTGGCATCCACTGTCCCTGCTGTGCAATGTGTTGCTTTTGCTTCCGAAGTTCCTTCTTGCCATCCATTCCTGGAACACTTTGTGCTCGGCCACTTCCTTGTATATCTGAAATTAAGCAATTGAAAATCATTAAATTTCATCTGAATTTCATAACGTACAGCGCCTAGATATATTCCAAATAAATACTTACGTTTCAATACTCATTTTATTAGGCACAGATAGCATAAAAAATCCATTTTGAAGGCCTCGTATACGATGCTTTGTGTTAGACAATATTCACTATTGATTAAGATAATTTTCACCCAATAATGGGTGAAATAATACTCATTTTTCTTCCCTGAAGAGGTCAAAAAGATGGGTACAAAAGAACCCATTTTCGAAAATATTCACATACCCATTATTTGACAGCTTCATTTAATACTAATATTGGGTACTTTTATACCCATTAATGGGTACTTGCCAGTTACAGTGTACATTAAATTTTGTTTTGCTGTTGTGCGGGTGTTTTGAAGATTGACCCTTAAGTTTATTATTTTACTCTTATCTTCAACAAAAATACGTTTAATTTTTCTTCTTAAGTAAATATAGTGTATTGAGCTGCAAAACTAACCTGTTGAATTTATTAACATGGATAGTGAGGTAACAAAATATCAAGAATCTATAGGAATACTTAAACAATTTTTAATCTGATCAAAATTTCAAAACAGCCACCATCTGATGGATATCTGATTGATTTGATTGACAACGAGTGGCTAACAGATGAGTTGCCCAATGATCAGATAATGGTGCCTTACGAGAAACTTCCTGATCCGGAAGCGGATAACGGTGATTCTCATCTCACACTGACCGAGCAGGAGCAAAAATGGACGGATCTTGCTTTTTCGATGCTCGCCCCCGAGTTATCAATTTCGGATCAGTTGAATATGAATGGTGTTTAGAATGAGTCATTGTGAAACTTTCCATACATTCAAGTATGCTATACCTAGAGACTGATGGTAATAAGAAAATCAATCAAAATGAACAAGAATCTCCATTCTTCGACGGCCTTGACCGAGTTTGCCCGGAATTTTGATGAAGAACCGAAAACATTATTTACGAAGATTGTGGACAAAATTACGACGGGTATTTACAATACTGGATCCAGTGCAGTTCTAGCTAAGACTGAAAATTTTGATGGTGAAACTAGTGATGTTATAGTGAAAGTGGAAATTCATGACCCTGAAGCGGAAAACCGTCAGTCTTCTGACGATGTTTCTAATCTAATAACTAATAATATGTCAATTTCGTCAGAGGAGTGTCCACTGGACATCAATATATCGCAAGGGCGAACTTCAATCAACGTCCTGAAACGATTGATAAACCTGGTATCACAAAAACCAACTGTAAGTAATCATTGTTTTCGCCATTATTCCCGTTTACGAACTTTTCTTTTTGGATGAAAAATCCGCTTTGATCGAATGTGCGATTAGGGGCGTTTGTTTGCAGCTACTCTTATCCAACTTTTTTTTTTGTGTAGAGGACACTCCTGATTTTTTAAGGATTCAATCATAACAAAAGGACCTATTGTAAATCGACAACAGATGCTTTCGTTCTTAGAATATAAATTCATAGGTATATATTATTAAAATGCGTCGAGGTTTTTGACGTACGTATCGTAGTTACCACGGTACGATTATCTGCAATTGCAAGGGTAAATGACTAATGTTGAGTCAAACTAATTCTACTTGTTATGAAACGATACTAGGAGGCAAAAACATGTATTTATGTGGTGAGATATGGCGAAAATGGGGGAAAAAATCCACTGCCTACAGGTGGGAATCGAACTCACACCTCCAGTACGCTAAACGGGCGCTCTACCACTATGTTACCGTAGACTTGATGCTACCCTCATCAATCTTTCGAAGCGGTGAAGTGATAGAGACGGTTATCTGCAATAAAAAAAAAATGGTTGTGTCCTAGACACGACCGCAGTATGACGTAGAACCACACAAAATTGATGTTTTTCATGCATTTTTGACTATTATACTTAATCTCAAAATTTTCAAGTATTTCAATATTTCGGTTATGGTTGACTCAAAACAATTTACACCATTTTTCTTGACAAATATCCATGTGAAATCCACATGATTTTCATTTGACCACACATACACAGAATCCACTCAGAAGAACACATGAAATTTAATACGCAAATGAATAGTATGTGTTGGTCACGCATGGTTTTTATATGTACATATATTAAGTATGTGGCCGACACATAGATATTGATTTGTTGATCACGTTGCAAAAACTCATGTGTGGGATTTGAGGGTGGGTGTGGTGATTAGGAGAGGTTGTTGATGAGTGGGGGGGGGGTAGGAAAGGTTGTTGATGAGTTGGGGGGGGGGGTGGGAAAGTTTGTTGATGAGTGGGGGGGGGGGGGTATGAAAGGTTGTTGATGAGTGGGGGGGGGGTAGGAGAGGTTTTTGAGGGGGGAGAGATTGTTGTGAAGGGGGCGGGAGGGGGAAAGGTTGTTGGTGAAAGGGGGAGGGGTTTACATCATTAATTTTCCTTATTGTGGTCACGCCGTGATCCACATTTAGCCGCTGATTTGGTCCTGCTTACTGCAGGACCAAGTGCCACGCCGTCCGAAGCGACAATGAGCAAAAGCATGACAGCAGCGCTGTTTTATATCTTTTCCGGTTCAGAACCTGATAGGATTTCCCGCAGTTTTTTTATGAATGGGGCGGAGCAGAAAGTTTCTTTTGTGCAGAATATGTAAAATAGGATGAACTTTGGATATTAATACAATTGCATATATAGAGGCACCAAATATGTTTCACCGTCAAATGTGACTCAGTGCCAACGGTGTCTGAACTTTGGACACGGCACCCGCAACTGCAACATTAAGCCACGCTGTGGCAATTGCGCTCAAGACCACGCCACTTCCGACTGCCTGCGGATGGCGCCGTGGCGTTAAAATGCGCCAACTGTGGTGGTGCTCACCAAGGTTCCGACAGACAGTGCTCCAAACGCGAGGACTTCAAACGCATCCGAAAACAGGCGGCAACTAACAACCAACCAGGACGCAAGAAGGACAAGGTCCCGGCATTTCGGACGGAGGATTTCCCGCCTCTTCGTGCTCCTCAGCAAAGGCAAGCGAATTCGCGGGTGCATTCCGCTCAAGCAACTTCTGGTGATTCTGCTGGCCAAAGCTCTCCATCCCCCCTGGATTCTGGAGACAACCACCAGCGCAAAACAACAACCCCGATCTGTTCTCAGCGAATGAACTGATGGAAATTTTCGTCAACATGTCCGGTGCTCTTCGTAAGTGCCGTAATAAACCCGAACAGATCCAAGTGCTCGGTAAGTTTATCATCCAGTATGGTGTCTAAACCGATAACCATCGCTACCTGGAACGCTTGCTCTGTAAAAGCAAAACAGATTGAGCTTGCCGACTTCCTCCGCAACCACAGCATCGACGTGGGCCTTCTAACCGAGACCCATCTAAAGTCCGGCGACAGCTTCTGGTTGCCTGACCACAACATTATCCGGCTTGATCGCACCAGCTCCAGGGGGGGTGGTGTAGCGGTCATCGTCAGAAAGGGAATCAAGTTCTGCACTCTGCCCCACGTCCGCACTTCTATCATCGAGGCCGTTAGTGTGGAGGTGGAATCACCAACTGGAAACGTCCGGTTCATCGCGGTTTACTGCCCACGCCAGTGCACCGCCAACAATGGACTAGAAACTCAATTCAATTCCCTGACCGCCATCACCCGTACTAGCTTCCGATTCATCGTTGGGGGCGACCTGAATGCCCGCCATGAAGCTTGGCGGAACTACCAGCGGAACCGGAATGGATGTCTATTGTTCGACCACGCACAACATGAACTGTACACTGTGCAGTTTCCGGACGAACCAACTTTTATCTCTCCGGCGGGAAATCCGTCCACCCTGGACTTTTTCCTGTCAAACATCGTACTATCCAAGCCGGAGGCGCACAACGATCTCAGCTCCGACCACCAACCGGTGGTGACTGAAGTCGGTGTCAACGTGGTTCCTGCTAGAAGCTGCCTGTTTAAAGATTACCATCATGTCAACTGGGTGCAGTACGGATGAATGGTGGACAGCAACATCGATGAAAATCCACTGCTCGACACTATAGATGACATCGACCGGGCGTTGGAAGGACTCCAACAGGCCATATCCGTGGCTGACGAGGCGTGTGTTCGACAAGTTCCTGTGAGGGGTAAGTTTGTTGCTATTGATTCCCACACCCAATTACTGATTCGGTTGAGAAATGTTCGTAGACGCCACTTTCAGAGGACTGGAGATCTGGGCAAAAAACGTGAAATGGCCGATCTGAACAGGCAGATTGCTTCCAGAATGGACTCACTCCGAAATGAAAATTTCGGGCGTGTTGTCCAGAATCTGGACGACCGCTCCAGACCATTCTGGAAGGTAGCCAAGGTCCTGAAAAATCATCCCAAACCCGTTCCACCTCTCAAAGTCGAAAATGATGACGATCGGCTTTTAATCACCCCAAAGGAGAAATTAAATGCTATCGGCAAGCATGTCGCTTCATCGCATTTGCTTGGCTCGACTATCCAAAGTCCGCTCGATGATCAGGTTGCGCAATGCGTTCAAAACCTAGATGTCTCCCCTTGTGTCGTGCCTCCGGCGGATATGATTACAGTACAACAGATTTGCTCAGCGCTGAAATGCACCAAGAATATGAAGGCTCCCGGGTTTGACGGTATATTCAACTTGATCTTGAAGAGACTCAGCATGAAAGTGCAGTCTCTTCTAACCACTATTTTCAACAGATGCTTGGAACTGCACTACTTTCCAAGCATCTGGAAAGTAGCAAAAATCATACCAATCCGCAAGCCCGGTAAGGATCCAACATTGTCTTCAAGCTACAGACCAATCAGCCTCCTTTCAGCGCTGAGCAAATTGTTCGAGAAACTCATTCTCAATCGTTTGCTCAAGTTTGTCGAGGAAAATAACATACTCCTTCCTGAACAGTTTGGGTTCAGAAAGGGGCACTCCACCAATCACCAGCTAGTGCGGGTGATGAATAACATCCGAAGTAACAAAGCTGTATCCAAGTACACAGCCATGGCCTTGTTAGACATTGAGAAAGCGTTTGATAATGTCTGGCACAATGGGCTTGTATACAAGCTTTGTAAGTTCAACTTTCCATTACATCTGGTTAAAATCACCCGTAACTACCTCCAGCAAAGGTCGTTTAAGGTATCGTTGAATGGTTGTCTTTCAGACACGTTTTCCATCCCAGCAGGAGTCCCGCAAGGTAGTCTACTGGGCCCCTTGCTTTACAGCATTTACACTTCCGACATTCCTCCCCTTGGAGACGGTTGCGTGTTTTTCCTGTTCGCAGATGATACCGCAATAGCCGTCAAAGGAAGGATGCCTCGCGAAATAACGAACAAACTTCAACGATGCCTTAACGCCTTTGCTGATTATGCCACCACGTGGAAAATCAAAATCAATGCCTCCAAAACACAAGCGATGATGTTCCTCCATCGGCAATCGCCCAAACTGAAACCGGCTCCATCTTGTACTGTAATCATGGATGGCACAAAAGTTGAGTGGTCTACCGAAGTAACCTATCTCGGGATGTTGTTTGATGAAAAGCTCCTCTTCCGTGCGCATGTAGAGAAAACTGTAGTTAAGTGTTTTTGAGGGTAGGGGGGGGGGGGGTTAGGAGAGGTATTTGAGGGGTGGGGGGGTTAGGAAAGGTTGTTGATGAGTGGGGGAGGGGTTAGGAGAGGTTGTTGATGAGTGGGGGGGGGGGTAGGAGAGGTTTTTGAGGGGGGAGGGAGAGATTTTTGTGAAGGGGGGAGGGGAAAGATTGTTATGAAAGGGGGAGGGGGTTTACATCATTACTTTTCCTCATTTTGGTCACGCCGTGATCCACCTTTAGCCGCTGATTTGGTCCTGCTTACTGCAGGACATGGGTTTTACATGCACGTTTTTTCAAGTCTCATTCCTCATTGTGGTGGACACGCCGTGATCCACCTTTAGCCGCTGACCTAGTCCTGCTTGATGCATGACCTAGTGCCACGCCGTCCGAAGCGGTAATGAGCAGAGGCATGAGAGCAGCGCTGATTTATATCTTTTCAGGTTCAAGCAGAATGATGTGCAACCAAGTGGTATTCGTTTATGATGACTGGGTTTGGGAATAAGGCTTATGTCATGAAATCAGTGATAAAATTATCATTTGTACATTTTCAATAGTTTAAATACAGAAAAATTGGATTTTTTTTTTAATATCCTATCGATTGGCGTATTTGGATTATAATTTCATCTATAAATGACAAAGTTACAAGCGTTCAAAACCTAACACTCCTTCAACACACATATTTTTTGATTTGCACCCCAG